TTGGCATAGAGGCATAGAGCAAGAGGCCCTCAGGGGCAGTCTTGGAAAAGAAGACCCACCTTGACTCGGTTTATCCAACAGTCCAGGATTTCCACCAACACGTTCATGTCGTTGCATGACATTCAGTATAGAATAGATAGACTCAGATAGACCTGCGACGGTACAGCCAGGCTCGAATCTGGTTGGAATGTGGACCTTTGTCACTTGAAGTCCTTGAGTTTGGTCAAGCGAACTTGATCCTCTGACCAGTTGCTGCCGGCGCCATGCCCAAACCTTCCTCTCTTTGAAGCTGGCGCCCCCTGCCCAGAGCATCCCAAGGTAGCTCTGAGTACGTCCCGGTGCTGCGTCCTCTGAATGAAGCAAATGCCCCTTTCACACAGCGACCCTATGCAGCATTTGCTCTGAATGAAAAATACAAACACCAATCCGGTGCTCTTCTCTAAGACTCTAACATTCTGGATTGCGAACCAACAAATCTTACACACGCCAATGACGCGTGCGTCTCCGAATCAGGTATAGGAGGTGCGGGGAGATAGGCAAGCCCAAACTTCCAGGCCGACCATGTTGCTTGTTGAATCAGCACATGAACAGTATGACCTTATACAGCAATTAACTGAGTAGCTCCAGAAAAAGCCTAAGCAAGCTTCAAAAATTGTTTCAAGGCAAGGTCCGTACGTTCATCCTCACTTCTAGACTGTTGATGAATAATACTCCCTGTGAGTTTGAGAGACGAAACTCGAACCACTTTCGTTGCACTCAGTATGCAGCTGTTTCATGTGGCCATTCCGGCCCAATTGTACTTTCCCCACCGCCTAGTGGCGGGACATCGATCGAGCAGCCAATGGCAAAGCAGGAAAAGGCGATCGTTCTTTCGTGAAACCTCGTTTGTTCACGAAGCTACTTGGTTCCTACAATTGCTACCAAGTGACATTGGTAGCGGAGCCGCCGATCACAGGCGGCTCCCTGCCACTCCGCTACAACTATTTCACTGTCCCCTTCCACGCCCACACCAACAACGGAAACTTCACCCACAACCTTGCTTCCCTCTTCATAGACAGGAGCAGTTCTCTCACCCGAGCTCTTTCTTGCTGACGAGCTCTACTTTGCTCATTGAAGAGCTCTATCTTGCTTGCAGTGGTTTCTGAGTCCTACCTCCTTGAGTATGTCCTCAGAAAAGAAGGCCGAACTCGACGCCTTCTCGGCCAGAGACAGTTTCATCCCGCTGTTTGGCGGATCCCTGACGGCAGTTTGTCCGGCGTTGCTTGGAAGTTGTGCGAGGACAAGGCCGAAGATCCCGGCGCCCTCGATGAAATTCTGAAGACACTTGATGGCTCGTTTCAATACGACGCCAATGTGGAGATGCCGGCCGACTTCGCCTCGTACTTCGAGCACCTGTCCAGAAAACCAGGACAAACCCTCCTCAACTTTGTCACGGACCACGACGACCGCTTGAAGCAGATCGAGAAGCATGGAGTGAAACTCCCAAGCCAGATCCAAGGCTGGTTTCTTTTGGCCAAAGCAACACTCACCCGCGAGCAACGACAGATGATCATGACCCAGGCTGCCTCCTTGGACCGTGCCAAGATCCAACAGGCCATGTTTCCCATCCTCGGCCAGGACTATAAGGGTGGAGGCCAGATGCTGCGAGACCGCTGGAACCGAGCTTCTGGAAAAGGCCGCTCCTACTATGCAGGTGATGATGAGGAAGCAAACTATGAATGGGATGAATCCCTGTACGAGGAGGATGATGCCTACTACATGGAGGATGATGGCAACTATGAACCGGAGCAGGAATTCGACACCGAAGAGTATGATGAAGCTTATGCCTCATATGTTGACGCTCGCAAAAGGTTCAATGACTTGAAGCTCAGCCGAGGATTCCTGCCGGCGGTTGCCCTCCAAAATTCCGCTGCCTCCTCAAGTTCGATGACCTCTCAGCAGAAGCCTTACAAGGGCATGGGGAAAGGGAAGAAAGGAAAGAACAAAGGAAAAGGAAAAGGTTCCACCTACCGCTTTGATCGCCCTCCTGCCAAACAACCTGATCCAAAAGGAAGGGCCAGATCGGCCTTAGCACCTGCTTGCATGAGATGCGGGTCAACATCACACAAGACCGCCCAGTGCACCCAGACAGGGTCTCCAAAGCCGGCCACCACCTCCACCGGCAAGCAACAAGCTGTTGAAGGTATGGCCATCCTGAATGATGAGACCACCATGGTGATGCTTGAAGATTCAGCCGGTCACGAACGACCTGATTGCGCTATGATCGACCCTGGTGCCTCGTCCTTCCTGATGGGATCAGGACCACTAATCCGATATATTCACCATCTGAAGCAGTTGGGCTACGACACTTCACAGCTCAAGCTCCAGCGCTGTCAACGGACGTTCCACTTTGGTGGCGATCACCAAAAAGTCAGCTCTTGGGCAGCAACTGTTCCGGTCTACTTGAATGGCACCCATGGACTACTACAAGGATTTCTTCTGAAGGGTGAAACTCCCATGCTGATCGGCAGGCCCATCATCAAGGCTCTTGACATGTCGATCGACTTCGCTCGCCAGCAGCTCAAGTTTGGTGACAATGACTGGCAAGATGCTGTTCTTGGTCGCCATGAAGAATACTTGTTAGATCTCACAGCGACCTTCGAGACTGAGCAGCTTGCATGGGAGCCTTCCTTTGACCTTCAGCTCGACGAGACCCTCGGCGAGCGTGGCACCTTTGAAGAGTTCCTCACTGAAGAACATCTCTATCAAGTTGAAGAAGAGTTGCCACCCGAGGAGACAAGTCCCATGACGGCCAAGCACTGGAAGACTCTGGTCACGTTGACCCAAGCTCAGCTGAACACCACGAATGCCTTCGTCGACCAGACCTTGAAGGAAGAAGCTGCTCCACGACCTCGAGCGCTATGGGAGGTCTACACTGGCCGGGCACGACTTTCGAAGATTGCAGAAGCAGTTGGCACGACGACTAAAACGTTTGGCTTCGAGACAGGATGGAACTTCGCGCTTCAGTGCCACCAGCGCGCCTTCCTGAACCTCATGGATGAAGAGATGCCGGACGAAGTCTACTTGTCACCCAGCTGCGGCCCTTGGTCAAGAATGCAGAACATCTCAGCCAACTCACAGCAGAGACAAGAAATCCTTCGAGGCCTTCGTGAATGGCATCATCGAACTCACCTTCAATTTTGCAAGAAGGTGTACCTGAAACAACTCCACTCTGGAAGACATGGACACATTGAGCAACCCACCTCGGCTCTCTCATGGGACACTTCAGCGCTGCAGTCCCTTCCTGGCCTCCGTGCTCGACACCACCAGTGTCAATATGGTGCAGTTTGCATGGATGTCAATGGCTCCTGGAAACCTGCCAAGAAGGACACCACCATCCTGACGACCAAGCGCCCTGTTGCTGAGTCCATGTCTCGCCTTTGCTCAGGAGATCACGAGCACTGCCGACTCGAAGGCTACATGAAAGGACACGGAACTCACCGCACTGCCTTCATGGAGGACTACCAGCCAGCATTCGCAGCCACTCTGGCTACAGCTCTCGCTGGTTCGGAGCGACCCCAGACTTGGGAAGATTCCTATGCAGTCCGGGAGCACACTAAGTACTTGGGCAAAATTGTTGACCTACACGCCGAAGGCAAGCACAATGCCCTCAGAGTCATCCAGAAGCTCCATCGGAATCTTGGCCATCCTTCCGCCCAAGCACTAGTCGACCTCCTTCAGACCAGAGGTGCTTCGAAAGACGTCCTGGCTGTGGCTGAGAACTACCTATGCAGTTCATGCCTTCGATACAAGAAGCCGAATCAACCGGCTCCAGCTACCACCAACAAGGCCGAGCACTTCAACCAGGCAATCCAGGCTGATGTGTTTTGGATTCGCGCCGACAAGAAGAAGTGGCCCATCCTTGCAGTTCTTGACTGTGCCACGAAGTATCAAGTTGCTTGCTCCGAGCAAACTCAGGACTACATCAAGCCCCTCGAGCGACACTGGATTGCACACTTTGGCCCTCCTGAAGAGCTCATCACCGATGAAGGACGTGGCTGGTTGAGCAACGAGTTCATGACTTGGTCTGACGAGCACAGCATCAGCCACAAAGTAGCTCCTGGAGAAGCTCATGAACGCCTCGGCCAGGTGGCCTGCAGCTGGAAGGCCGAGACGGCATTCGACAAGCCCTGACCTACATCCTTCCTCAGCTCAATGCTCAGCCGACCGTCGCTGGATTCTCTCCGACTCAATGGGTCCTTGGATATCAGCCAGCTCAACCTGGTCTCTTGCACTCCGGTTCCTGCGCCCTACATGGTCACGAGGATTTTGAGAAGCGCCTTCACCAACGCAATGTGGCCAAGACGGCAATCCTCCAGGCCAAGACTGACAGAAAGCTGAGACGCGTTTTATGAGGCGCTACGCAGGAGTCAACCAAAGACTTTTGGCTGGCCAGCGATGTTTCTACTGGCGAGACGCCCAGCAACATGAGCTCTGCAAGATTCGCTGGCGAGGACCGGCAGAAGTCGTCTGTGTCGAGGAAAAAGATGGCAGTCCTCACGTCTACTGGTTGGCGCACAAGACCCAGCTGATTCGAGCAGCTCCTCATCACGTCAGGCCGGACTTCACCTCCATCGAGGACACGGCAGTTGAAAATCTCAAAGATGCCACCTCTACCTTGCAATCCTTGAAGTCCCGCGGAGTGACTCGCTACGTCGACCTCAACAAAAGGCCAACAAGCAGGACCTATTTGACGTTGAAGAGCATGAGGAAAAACTTTCCTTAGACGAAGGTCCTGAAGTGAAACGACGTCGACTGGTGCATCAACACGATGAGGAGGAGGACATGGAGGACTACACCCCTTCTGAGCCACCGGAACCTCAAGGAATCCCTTCCTTTCAAGCTCCTCAGGTTACCCTCCACTACTAAGTCCAGAAGATCTACCAGCAGTTCCTGGTTCTCCTGGAGCATTGTCGAGATCTGACCAGCCTGAACCATCGACAGAGCCTGAGCCACCTACCATGCCTCCGACTCCAGTTCATCTTGATCCGGTGACTTCCGAAGCCTACAAAGCACCGACGGCTCCAGAGACGTTTCAACAGCAGAGGCTTCGACTGGACAAGCAGGAGACACTCTCCTTCGGCCCTCAACGAGCTCGACATCATGTTGAGCGCACGCCGTATGACAAACCGGCGGCTGAGTCAAGTGAGATAGTGTTCGAGGTCCAGGATCTAGACTCTGACAGCCTCCCCAAGGGATGGACCTTCAACAAGAACAACCACACCTTTGAGCTCAAGCACAAATTGGCCGACTTCTGGGAGATCACTGGAGGATGCCTCATCCGTCATCATGTACGTCCACGGTCGAAGAAGTTCGTTCCAAGTGACATAGCTGATCTTCCGATACCCCTGGAGAACTTGGACGATGTCCGGGTCACCGTCTTCCGTGAACCTGGCTGTGACTCGTCTTCCGTCACCGACCACTTCAAGACCGAGAACATGTTTTGTGCAAGAACTCCAAGGAGACGCCCAAGAGACGTCCTGCCAAATGGATCGGATGTGCTCTCCATCTCCTCGATGCTCAAGTGGCATGGCTGGTCAGCAGATGTGGCTACTGCATTCTTACAAGGGATGCCACAAACCCGGCAGCTTTGGCTTCGTTTGCCCAACGACTGCTTGCAGATCCTTGGTTGCGGACCAGAGACCCGCGTGGCCTTGATCAAGCCCGTATATGGTCAACTCGATGCCCCTCGTCGATGGTGGCAAGAAGCAACACGGAGATTGACTGGAGAGTTGGACCCTTGTCTCTTTGCACTTCACCACACCTTGGAAGATGGCACAACGGTTCCATGTGGCCTCATCGCCTTGCGCGTTGATGACATGCTAGGTGCTGGAGATCGCAGTTGCCCAACTTATGTTGCAGCCGAGCGCCGCCTGAAGGAAGTTTTTGATTTTCGAAGCTGGCAAGAAGATAGTGAAACCATGGAGTATTGCGGTGTTTTGCATGACCGCAAGGACTTTTGTTGGACACTGTCACAACGCCACTTCTTACAGAAGGTCAAACCAGTCACCATCCATCGAGGAAGATCTCAAGAAGATCTCATGACTGAGCCAGACCGGGCACAGCTCAGAGCTCTACTGGGTAGTTTGCAATGGCCATCCGTGCAGTCGCAACCTCACTTGCAGGCAAGTTGCAGCCTCATCAGTGGACAGCAACGATCTGGCAAACTGAAGGCTATCATGGAGGCCAACGCCCTGTTGAAGTTTGCAAAAGAACATGCTGATGTCTCGCTGAAATACGAGCCATTCCAATCCATCCACAGCTACTCCGACCTCACGAAACTTCGCCTGGTGATCATGTTTGATGCCTCACATGCTGCCCGCGAAGACCATTCATCGCAGGTGGACACTTGGCGATCCTGGCGCCGGAGGAAGCCTTCCAAGAGGAGACTCCATACCATGTGGTAGATTGGCGAAGCTACAAACTTCCAAGAATTGCCCGTTCAAGTCTCAGTGCAGAGGCTCAGGCAGCCGGAGGTGCAAGCGACACTGCAGAATACATTTGCAGGTTTTGGTCGATCATCTTCAACCCATGGCAGAAACTACATGATCGACTTCAAGAAAGGTCACCACTGACTCCGACCCTCATAACAGATGCCAAAGCTCTCTACGATGCTTGGCACAAAGAAACGACTACCGCAGCGAGTTCTTCAGTGGACAAGCGCACCTACTTGGAGATCAAGGTCGCCAAGCAGCAAACCTCCGAGCTCGGAGGATGCTTGAAATGGGTCAGCAGCGAAAGACAGTTCGCAGACGGCCTGACAAAAGGGTCGACCAGAGGACTACTTGCTGACCGCTTGAGACGACACCAAATCAAATTGGCCTGGGATCCATCTTACACCTCGGCCAAGAAGAAAAGCAAGCAAGAAAGAGAGCAGAGCCGGCAAGAATTTGCCGACCCGAAGATGAAGAGGAAGCCCAAGAGAAAACAACCGCCTCAACAAGAACGACCACCAAACTTCACCCACAACTCGAGAGTGTGCATGAGGAGTCCTATGAGATGGACGAACATGAGCAGCTGGAGAACACCAATAAGAACTCCGAAAGACCTTGGCCCAGCTCTTCGATCTTGAAGACTCCTACGGCAATGATCTACTTCACACAGATCAAGGCGGTCACTGCTGAGTTCCTGGGTGTCCACACGCCGCCGAATCCGGAGGAAGTTTGCCTTCCGGATGATGATCCCATGCTTGAAGACTGGTCAGCCCTGACCTACTTGTCCATCTTCATCCTCCTCACCATCCTCATTGTGAGCTACCTGTCCTACAAGTTTGGAAGAATGGTTGAGAGAAGAAGACAGGTGAAAGATTTGGATGTGAAGTTGAGGGTGGCCCATGGTCGAAACCAGAGGCACTTCGATGCAGCCCTGGATGAACAGAACCTTGCTCTCGACCACCGCATGTCGCAGCTAGAGAACGACCTGGTGAAGGCCGCAGAAGAGCATGCCACGACTCGTCGAAGCCACAACGAGATGATGGCACAATGGCAGATCGAACAACAAGAAGCTGAATATATAGATCAAGCCTTCCAACAATGTCAAGCCCTTCTTTCGCGATGCTACCGCGAGCTGCAGGACCACTTCGATGATGAGTGTCCCATTGAGATGGGAGCCTATGTGGCACCCTTTGGCCACACCTGGCACACGACACGTGAGTGTCATGGCTTGAAACAGGCCCACCGAGTCGACCACCGTCCATGCTGTCACTTTTGCACTCCAACACCTCGTACACCTTTCCGGGTGAACGGCCTGAGCGGGACCACTTTGTGGGAAGATATGGAGTCCTGGCGCCGCCAGTGGGGCTACCGCTCCTACGAAGAGTGGATGGTGGACTAGCTGCCTTTGTTTTTCACCCTTTTTCACCGGTGTGAGTTTGAGAGACGAAACTCGAACCACTTTCGTTGCACTCAGTATGCAGCTGTTTCATGTGGCCATTCCGGCCCAATTGTACTTTCCCCACCGCCTAGTGGCGGGACATCGATCGAGCAGCCAATGGCGAAGCAGGAAAAGGCGTTAACTTCGTGAGCCACGCCGATCGTTCTTTCGTGAAACCTTGTTTGTTCACGAAGCTACTTGGTTCCTACAAGCTACCAAGTGACACTCCCCAATTTACCATCCAGGTTGGAGGGTCTACATTATGCGAAGAAACTTCCCAGTGTTGGCGCCGCTGAATTGAACTTTAATATGAGCGACAGCTGCATCACGTTGTCTGTTCAGTAAAGTCTGTGGTGCTACATCTTGTAGAGTTGACATCACCTCTTTCGAAGCATGCACGGGTTGTCATGCCGGTACTGCATCCTTGGGTACTGCAAGGGTCTTTTAATAACAGAGATGGAAAAACGAAGATATCAACCCTTTAAAAAGGAAAGCCTGCAGAAACCCTCTTTTGTTCATCTCTTTGGCTTTAGACTTTTTTTGCCTTCCTTCCTTCCAGCACCGAGGCCCACCGGGCCGACCACTGAGCCGACCCGGCCGACTTTGTGCCGTGCTCACCGACGGAGGTCTCCGCGAGGCACCTGGCGAGCCCAATGCTTTTTGGACGTCCAAATTTTATATGCAAGGGCATCGCTACTAGGAGCAAGGACGCAGCTGTGTACTCAACTGTCAATCTTGACTTGATGGACCACTGCTAGGATAGCGACATGTTGGGCGTCCGGATGGTGAGAGGAACATACATCATCGTGCGGTATGGTCTGGTTGCCAACGACTGAAGAGGACGGACTTATGGGGACTTGCAGGTTCGTGAGCCCGTGAGCCCACATCAAACTGCGTCAACTTTTGATATCTTGCATCCAGCACATGTCCCCAACCCTTAAGATTCCTGCTCCTCTCTTTGGTCGGAGGTGATTGCGTGATCAAGGCAACAATCATCTTAGATACTCCTAAAGTGAATCTGTGTGTGTGTGCGCGCGCGCACGGTCCGTGTGCATCAAACTTCCACCGACTATGCTGCGCAAGTGGGATAGAGACACAAGCAGCAGCAGCCTGGCATACAATGGCCTACTCGACTCTCGCAGTGTGCTTGCTGCTTGCCAGCAGTTGGCGGCTGCCGACAGTTTTGCACCCTATGATCCTCTTTGACTCTGCATCTGGGCATGGTCATGCTTTCCTGGCTGTTAGTGATAGTCTGTTTCAAGCCTCATGTTCCTGGTGAAGTTGGACAATATTTCTTGATGTTGACCTGCCCTCTCTCCATCTCCCACTCTCGCCTTTACCCCCCCCTCTCTCTCTCTCTCTCTCCCTCTCTCTCTGAGTTGATAGCCAGACAACAACCATTTCCGGATTCTTGAAGGAGCTTGCCTATGTTGGTCAAAAAGACAACAGTGCTCTCCAAAGTCCTTCACTTAAGACTGCTCTGGAGTTTACAACATGATTTTGCAACAACGATGTCCCACGCTCCAAACTGGTGGATACAAAAGTGATTCCAAGTGGTCGGTCGTTCCAGCCATGTTGAAAAAAAAAGGGGCTTGTTCCAATCGGGTTGTTCCAAACGGGTTACCCCATACTTTTGCCCCCAGCTTTGCAAAAAAGCCAGGTCAACGCACGGCACGTCGCAGCTCGAGATCTTTGGTGCCGCGGGAGGTCTGGCATCGAGTAAAATTGTGGGTTCTCGAAAAAAATGGAACTCCGAAGAAAGGACAAAGGAAACAATTCACAGTACAAAACTGTAATGTGGTTCGAACCAAGTAGGCAAACATCTCACACCAAGTAGACGGAAACCATCAAGCATACAGTCTTGGCTTTGGTGTGTCAAACCAGTTGATAGGCATCGGCTATTTATGATAGGGGCAGGCAGTGGCAAACCCACATATCATAATTGGCAGTTCCACCCTCTTTTCTCGGTGAGATCTACAGTAGCCTTCAGGCTCCAATGCGAAGATCTTGCCATGTCCAATAAGCTCCTTCAACACAAAAGCATCTACCAAAGTCCCTAGGTAGAGAAGGCTCGAAGAGGACATCCGAAGCTCAACAGGCATGTGCTGAGATTCTCGGCCTCCTCTCGAAGGATGAGATGCCAGTCACCACTCCCAGGCCTGGGCACTTGCTGAAATCAGGGCCTGCGGAAGTGCTGGCATTCCAAAGAGTTCTGTCCTGCTTCTGTCTGGCATGAATGGTGCAGGGGAAATGTCTTTTGGAGGACTCCTTGCGCCGTGCCAGCACGTGCACCGGGGGCCGCAAATCGATCTTCAACATCAGGAAATCCGTTCAACCGTAGCAGCCCAAACCTGGATGATCGGGAGACACGCCCAATCAACCTTGTTGACGATTCTGCATCGAGACCTAGATGACCTCAAACCTGTCCTCCACAGGTGAAATCAAACAGCCCAACCTTTGGGGTGATCAAAAGTTTGCCTCTATTTCGTGTCTCCTGCCTTGGGATGTACCCTGATGCAAGTTAGCAACTGCAAAGCTTTGCGTCGTCCAGTCATCCTGGACTCGAATCTACTTTGGGCAGGTTTGAGCAGCTATTCACCTGAGGACTTTGCACTGGGCAATCAAACTTGCCAGCTCCTGCCATCGAGATCAAGCACTGCCACTTCAAGAGGATCAGAGGATCTGTTTCAAATCATGACTAGGGCAGTTTCAAGGTGCAAAAGGAATTGGAAAGCTTCAACGGAACCTACCACTGAAAACTATGTTAGCCCCAAGACTTGCTCGTGTGGCATTCATTCAGACCATCAAAAACTCGGCAGTTTGACCTGAAAAGGTGATGGTTTCCTCAATGAAGAGGCCTTGAACCAGCTCAAAGAGCTGTGTCAAGGCAGTTTCCGTCATCCTGGCAGCTGAAGCCAACACCTTGCAAATCCTTTTGCCCAAGAAGAGTCAGGATGTAATCGAGAACGGCATGTTCTCTCCCGCAAAGAGACATGGCTGCTTGGGACGACGAACAAACTACAGCACAGTAACAGCGTACTGCGTGAAGATGTCAGACCCAACTCTGCTTCAGCAACAGCATCAGTGGCCTTTGTGCTATCAACAGCGAGCTGAACTCCTCTGCATGTTCCAGCCTTCTCAAGCTTGGCCCAGCATCCTCGCAAAGGTCAGGGCTGCTGTTGGCCTGTCCACTTCTGCTGGTAACTTTGCTGGAGCTGTGGCTTAGAGGGTCCGAACTTTATGTCTTCAGAAATTCTCACAACATGTTGAAACATGTTGAACTCCAAACAAACGAGTGACCACTGCAGCCGCTGTTGCAGGTCACCCACAAGTTCTGCCAGCACCTGTGCTATCTATCTCAGCATCATTCCCTGCCGTGTCTTTGACTGGCTTGCAGTTTTGCCTCTCAATCATGCTAGTTGTGATCGATATCACTGTGGGTTGTATGCAAGTATCTGCCATGTCTCCCACCAGCAAACAGTATCGATAGCAACACCTGAGGTGACTCACCTTAAGCGGCTGGAGTGCATTTTCGGATTTGCCAGTCTTAGGTCAGACCCTTTGTGTGAAAATGTCAGATCGAAATCTACTTAGCAAAGCACAAGTCACGGCGATGACCTGCATTCTTTGCCCCCATGATACCCCCTAGCATTGCCTCCAGGAGCCATGGCCTCAAACCGAAAATTGTCTCACTATCTGGCTTCAGCGCATAGTCACACAATGTTGCAAGCTGCAGGCATATTCATCATATATATATATATATACTCATAGTTTATTCATGTGTATTTCTTTACATTACATCCATCATCTCTGTCTTGAGTGGTTCTTGGTTTGACAGAAGAAACAGGAACGTACCAAATGGATAACCAGGTGATCCTCGGGAGGTGATCCTCGGGAGGTGAACCTCGGGAAGCTCTGCAGCCCATGCACTGATGACCGATGTTCCTTTTGGTCCCAGTCGCGTGAAGTCGCAATCCAAAAGAAAGTCGAAGCCGAAAAGCTCAAAGCAACCACGCGGGTGAGCTGCCAGGTGCCGCAGGTGCCGCCGGTGTCGCTGGTGGTTTTCGTGGTTCCATGATGGACAGGACAGATTTCCATGATTTCCCTGCTTTCAAAAGCGTTGTTGTGTTCTTGTTTGTTCGATTTGGAAACTGAAACAAAGCAAACACCAACACACAAAACGACAGGCAGAGTGAAGTGTCCAGTCACAAACCCAAGCTTTGCAGAGCCTCCAACATCCTCTTTGCAACTCAGAACACAGGTGCGGACCACCTTGCCGTCAACAAGCTGGGTTCACAAAATTGGTCAGGTTCTCGAAGGCAGTCTAGGGGGCAAGGGTTGCTGAGCATACGCCACTATTTGACCAACAAACCCATCTTGGAGAGAAGACAGGCCAGTAGATGGTCTGAACTCTGCCTTCATGCCAAACAGACCCAGAGTTCGTTATGTCACTTGGCACTTCCGGATCTTTCGGCATTTTCAATTTACGGATGCAAAAGGATATCAAAGGATTTGAAAGCAGAACGTGAGTCAGAAGGGCCCAGTTGAGGGCAAACGCAAACTCTTCCCAAGTTCTTCAAACCTCATTGCTGAACGACCGCCCGTTGAACCGCCTCCAATATCTTTGGCCAGGTACGCTCCTTCCAACAAGACAGAGCCTCATCGGAGTCGGAGTACGACAATGCCCTCCGGCCAAAAACGACTTCATGCACAAGTCTCTGCTGAACCCTCTTAGGAGTTCGATTTCCCCCAAGAAATGGTGTCCTTTTTCCTACTGTGAACCGCTTCGTTGAGGTCTGAGCTTCTGTGGGTGCTTTGGATAGTGTGCGACCATCCGACGTTCACTTGGGAGAGGGATTGTTGCTCCCTGGCCCGGTGGCAGAAGGGGAAATGAACTACCCGGTTTTATAGTAAGACAGTGTTGGCCCTGCTGCGTTCCCTTAGCTGCACAAGTCACATGCCATCCTGCAATAACTTGCCCTTGCCTCACCGGGCCATGTTCCCTCTAAGGCTTCACGCTCGTAGCCAAGTGGTACCGAATGTACAAACATTCAAAATCATTCAAATGTGTTTTCAGGTCACTTTCTGGGTTCTTGGGATAGTCAGTTAGTCATCAAATAGCCGATGGTAGCTGGGTGCAATGAGGGAGCTTGCCCAGCACAAATCTGGAAGCACAGGCTCCGCGCTTCTTACAAGTTTGGGAGCTCACGTAGCCTTGTGGCAAGAAGTCTATCACACGGAGTTCCACCTCCCCGGACTGGGCCACCATACATTCAGGTTCTCCAACTCCTGGACTGAAACAGGTGTTTCAACTGACATCACTGTACAAATCCGATGCCAGAAAGAGGCTGTGGTAAAATCTTGAGCTTCGGATCTTTTGGAAGAAAGAACAGCACCGCTTTGATGTAAATCATTTGATTTCTGGTTCATCTTTTTCGGTTCTGACACAAAAGTCAGTCCAATGTGTATGACCGAAGGACTGGACCCAGCAACATGTGTTAATCAATCAGGACAACTGGATGTTTGAGTGGCTCATGGAGGCAATGGTTCTGTTGTGTCTTGATAAAGGCACTCTCTCATCTAGCACAGGTTCTGCACCCTCCTGTTTCAGTTGGTACTCCCGACTCCCAGACTCTTCAAGAACTTAAAATCAGAAAACTGCTTCCCGATATGCTGATTCAGTGCTCCTCTGCCCATTTCAAAAATGCCGGGAGCATCATGATGTGAGCCTCCAGCCGTGTCCCACCGACCCTTCTTCAGGCTCGGTCATCATTTCGGTGCCAAAAGGAGTGACTGATGGCAACTCTCAGCTCATCCAACAGAACATGATACTTTGCCTCTCATCAACAGCATGATCAAGAATTGGAGCCCGAGATAACCTTCCGAACATACCAACAAGACAGTGTTGGTAGTTGAAGGTTTCTACACCTGCTCAACCTCGGAGCACTTGTTGATCAGTGCTTTTGGCGCTCAAAAAGATTGCTTGTGACTGCAAAGTATTTAGAGCCACAGAAGCTGCTTGTTGTCTCGTTTCCAGCCTCGTCTTCATCTGATGCCTAGCGGAGTGATGGCAGAAGTCACTGATTGGGTTTTCAAAACACTGAAAGGACTTTGGCGTTCCGTTCCTAGTTGCACAGGTGAAGCTGATCATACAATATCTCAGAGTCGCGACCGGGCCCTGGTGGCAAGAACATCCTGGTTGTACCCCCACATCTGCGATCAAGATCAAAAGGTGAAAAGCATATCAAACACTACACTCAGGTTCGAGGCTTGCAATTTCAAACAAACTGATACTGTTGAGTTGGGCTTTTTGCTCACTTGTTTGGCAAAGGGTTTGTCAGGGTTAATGCATCGAATACTTCTTGTGTCAAGGCAATCTAGGCATAGTTGCTTGCTCAAGCTTCAGCGTCACTCCCACCAGAAACAGCAAAATCTTTCAGCTGACGCTTCATGATGCCATGCCTGATCACGATGACTCTGACTGTATGATACCCAGAAAGCCCAGCCAAGGTACTCTTGAAGTTGCAAGGTAGGTTATCTTATTCCTGATTCTTGTCCGGCACAGTCTGCCCTGCCAAGCCTTCTCTTCTGGCGCATCGTCTGACAGGTCGGGGCAATGGTTCAACAAGAGGTCGTGATGTTCAAGGCCCAGTGGCTATGAGGCATCCATGTGCGAGTGTAAACACCGCACAGAAGGATCCTACATGGTCCTATGTGCGATGTTGATGTTTGAGTTCACCGGAGACAGGTCCAAAGGGGCAAAATGCACCGAGATCTGGAAAAGGGTCAGCTCTTATCTAAATATGTATTGATATTCTGATATCAAACTGATTATCATGCATTTCCTTGTGTGGTTTAGACTAAAGAATTGCCTCTGATACAGCAGCTACATTGTCCTGCATCAGCTTTAGCTGCTTCTTTCAAACACTAGACTGATGTCGTGATCCCGAACAGTTCTTGTAGCCACAAACAGCTAGAAAGCTTCCTAGGAGGCACAAAAACTTTAACCCCAAGCGCGCCAGGCCCCGGGCGTCGTTGCACTGTGCGGTTCGTGAGGTGGACATAGGGATCCGCAATCTGCAATGACTTCAATGAGGAATCAGACTCTGACTGGTGTTCACGGGTGGAAGTGAATGACAGAATCACCTCGCTCAAAAAGAGGGATTCGTCAGAATCTGATGCACGGTAAGGATTCAAGTTAGGACCAGGTGAACCTGTAGAAGGCTCCAAGGCGCCATGTGCAGAATATCCCTGGCACTTGGAGATTGTTGTATGTGTAGTTGCGACAGAAATCTCCTCCAATCCGCAGAGGCCCCGCGTTTGAACCCGGGGCCACTGCTCTGAGAGCAACCTGTGTATGTGCTTGAGCGCAGGGTTTGCTGAATAAATATAGTATTTGCCTTCTACTGACTTTTCTGGGGTGCAATGCAACTAGTTGTGCTGCTCTGGCAAAGCTTTACCTGTGGAATTAGACCACGAGGCACCTCCAAGGCCAGAAAACGTATGTGTCATCTTCTTGCGAATTGCTGGAACATGCGTCATCCAATTCTGTGCTTGCCATGTCACTGTGAACATATATCATACATACATGATTGTTAAAAAACAAAATGCAGCAACCCCAACTATCCAAACAGGTGAAATCCAAAAGCCTCAAAGTGCTTCCTCTGTTTCACAGAAAGGATCCACAAATTCCACAAATTACCTGGTCCTGATTCCCAGAATCCCAGTCGCCATCGGAAGATTCCTTTCACCTAACGGGGACCCCAAGTGACTATATTGGTACAGTACATTGATGCTGCAAGGCATTGGAAGGCATTTCAAGGCGCACTGGATTTCTGTTGTATATTGACAAAAGACATAATATACACATATTGGAATAGAGGCCATCGCTATTAGGTTTGGGGCCACCATCGCTTCTAGGTTGGAGGCCATCGCTATTAGGTTGGAGGCCGCCATGGCTTCTAGGTTGGAGGCCATCGCTATTAGGTTGGGGGCCGCCATCGCTTCTAGGTTAGAGGCCATCGCTATTAGGTTGGAGGCCACCATCGCTTCTAGGTTA